GTGGAGACGAATACGGCCGTTGCCGCTGCGTGCATCAGCCAGGACAAGTGTGCCACCACCTTCATTGGCCCCACAGGGTCTTGGCGCAGCCTTCAACCGAGGGTGTGTGTGTGTGTGTGTGTGTGTGTGTGTGTGTGTGTGTGTGTGTGTGTGTGTGTGTGTGTGTGTGCCTACGTCTGCTATGTCTTCTTCTTCTTGATCAAAGCTACTGTCGTTCATTCCCTCCGTCCTCGTCCCGCCACTGGTCCTTCGCTTCCAGGTCATATCCACGGAGATGCACGCCTTCAACAATCTCAACTGGCACAGGCGCGGCGGCGTCTTGCAGAAGATCGGACTCGCAGGTGTGCCCTGCATCACGTGTTGCTGATGCTGGTGCATATCCCACACCCATGCGATCACTCTACAACAGTTGCACCCATGCCACCAACCCCCTTCACACTCACCCCCACTCACTCACTCACTCACTTTGCAGGCCCACCCACTCATCTTCACTGCACCCCTCTCAACCTCTGAGATCCCTTCTTGAGCGGCGAGGATGCTGCTGCTTACTTGGCCGGCTGCCAGAACGGCCCAGACAGAAAGTACAAGAAAATGGCAGCAGGTACACACACGCATCCACACTCACACACATGTGTATGCAAACGCGCACAACCGTGTCAGCGACGCTGCCTCATTTGCACACTTGGTGGTGGTCGTGTCATTTACACTGCTGTCACCGCTCCATCGCATTTAGGTCTCAGGCACATTGACGCGTACTCGGTCGAGACAAACCGCATGGCATTCAACCGGAACATCTCCACCTTTGATCTCTGGGACACCGAGTGTGTGTGTGTGTGTGTGTGTGTGTGTGTGTGTGTGTGTGTGTGTGTGTGCGTGTGTGTGTTGTCAGCTCGTGTGCAACCCATCAACATTTCTTGTCAGTTCATCCACGTCACCATGCCTGCGCCATCCCCCCACCTCCCACTTCCTCATCTTCATCCCGCTCCCCGCTGCCATGTGTTTCATGTGCAGTACAAGCGCGGGCACTCACTGCCATGTGCTCGTACCCCAACATCAACGGCGTGCCCTCTCCGTGTGCGAACAACATGCTGCTCAACGACGTCGTGCGCAGGCAGTGGAAGCGTGACATGGTGACGATTGGAACTGACTGCGGTGCGATTTTCAAACATGGTTGTCGCGAACAAGCACGCCCGCGACTTTCGTCGACGCCGTCGCAAAGACGCTGAACGGCGGCGCGGACATGGAGCTCGGGGAGGCATACTTCACCACAAACGGCTACTTGGAGCAGGCTGTGAAGCACAACCGCACGACAAGCGACACGGTGAACAACAACGCCGTGCGCCGGGTCCTCAAAGATAGCTTCATCACGGACCAATGGTACGTCGACTTGTGCTGGCTTTGAGTGTGTGTGTGTGTGTGTGTGTGTGTGTGTGTGTGTGTGTGTGTGTGTGTGTGTGCTTGTCCTCAAAGCCTCATATGAGTGCTGTGACCTTGAGAAGATGAAGCAGTCCACGGTTCCTCAATACTCACAACAGTGTTTTCATTGCCTCTCACCCCATGTTCCCCTCCACCTCCACACCCTCCCCTCTAGACATCGATGAGTGCACGGTCTGCGGATTCAAGTCTCACCTCCAGTAACGGCCGCTGCATCAGCGAGTGCCCCGACGATGGCGAGTATGAGCTCAGCAACGGATGTGCCAAGTGCCACTCCACCAGATGCCACCAACTGCCTCCTGTGCGACGGCAAACTCATCAGTCGCGCATTGCCGATTGCCCTCTCAACTACTACGCCAAGGACCACCGCTGCGTGCCATGCACTAGGTGTGGCATGGGCACCTGGGCCTCCACCCCATGCTCCTTGTCCTCCGACACCGTCTGCTCCCCATGGACCGAGTACAAGCCTGGCCAGAAGGAATCTGTTTCTGACAACGCCGTGCGCGACCGCGCATGCGTGAGCTGCACCCTTTGGTACGGAGTACCAGCCGCTGCCGGAACGCGCCTCGTGCTTCCCCACCAGCGTGTGCGAGGAGCCCTTCATCGAGACCATCCCGCCCACGCTCACCACGGACCGCCTGTGCTCCTGCGACACGCTCACATGCAACAAGCTCGTCACGCAGTTGTTTGAGGAGATGGTGCGTGCCGAGCACACGGACGAGCAACTCGACGTGGTGCTTGACGTGTGCAGCTCCGACCCGGGCGAGGATGGCATCCGCGACACCATTCGCCAGAAGGCACGCCGCCCCTGCCCAGGCTGCACAGACACGTGCGAGTGCAGCGCTGGCTTCATCCTCGTCTACGACGCCGATCCAGCCGACCGTCGGCCGTGCGACAGCGTGACGGAGTTCTCCCCATCCATTGGCGGCAGCAAATGCGAGCTCATTGAGGAGTGCGAGCGCGGCCAGGAAGAGGTCTCCGCGCCAACCTGCTGTTCCTCGGACCGCGTGTGCCACGACTGCTCGGCCGGCACCATCGACGAGGACAGCGACGGTCCCACGGGTTGCCAGATGTGCCCCGCCAGCCACTACACGAAGGTGGGCTCCCACGGCTCCTGCTCCAGCTTCACCTGCCGCACCGGCTCACGACCACCACGACAGCGACCCCGCCACCGTCGACGAGGCGTGCCGCTCCGTCATGCAGTGTGACCCGGATGAGGAAGAGATTCGCTATGCGAACCCACACGCCAGCACGACCGCCTCTGCCGCAAAGTGCGTCCAGGACACGTGCGTGCCCGTGTCGCGTTGCGCGGCCTCAGAGTACATTTCCACGCATGGCCGTGAGCAAGTGCGAGTTGGGCACCTTCCAGAAGCCAGGCGCCCACGCTCGACTCTGACAGCGAGTGCACGGAGTGCTCCGAGTGCCCCAGTGGTCGTTTCGAGATTCGCGCCTGCTCCGCGCTGGAGGACGTGCAGTGCGCCGGCTGCTCCGCGTGCCCGCCAACCACATACATCCTGCGCGCCTGCGACTCGGGAGACCGATGTGTCGTGCCAGCAGTGCAGCACGTGCTCTGATGAGCAGTACTGCAGCGCGCCATGCACCGCCATCAGCGACACGGAGTGCACGACGCTCGGCGTGTGCCACCAGGACCAGTTTGAGCTGTTCCCCACCGCCACGCCGACCACCGACCGCATCTGCCGCGACCTGACCCAGTGCAACCCGTCGACGGAGTACGAGCGCACCGCCTGTGCCACCTCATCGCCAAGTGCGACCCTTGTGAGCAGCGCATCCGCGCGCCCACCTCCACCTCCGACGCCAAGTGCGAGCCGTGCCCCATCGGCACTATCGACCACGACCGCAACCCGCTCACCGCCTGCCTGCCGTGCCCTTACGGTTACTATGTGCCTGAGGGCTCCAGTGGCTCCTGCGAGCAGTTCCTGTGCCCAGCCGGCACCCCCGACCTGGACCGCAACCCCAGCACACGACGTGTACGCCGTGCATACCGTGCCAGGTTGGCGTGGACTTTGCCGCCCTCTCTGGCCAGCGTGATTGCACGCCTGTGCCGGAGTGCGACCTCGGCTACGAGGAGGTGGTGCGCCCTACTATGCGCCCCACCATCTTCACCGACCGCCAGTGCCACCGCTGCATCGAGGGCTGGTTTTGCCACCACAGCAACACGGATGTCTGCACGCGCGTGTCGCCCTGCGAGCCTCGCTCGTTTGAGACGGCTGCGCCCACCATCAGCACGGACCGCGAGTGCCAGATGGGCCACACGTGCCCCAACAACACCACGTTCATCTCACGCCTGCTCACGCCCACGACGCAGAACCACAGGCATCTACTCGCCGTGGACACAGTGCCTGTCAAACAAAGTACGAGCTCGTTGCGCCGTCGCTGGTCAACGACCGCGAGTGCCAGCGCGTGCGCTCGTGCCAGAGCACGGAGTGCGAGGTGTTGGCGCCCACGGCCACGACGGACCGCCTCTGCGCCACCATCAGCGACGCAGTTTGAAGCGCTCCCACCCTGCGTGTGTGCCTGCGTACTCTGTCTCGCTCGACTTTGACGCCAAGTTCAACGCCCATGCCGGCACGCAGTCGGGTCGCGAGGCGTTTGAGGCCGCGCTGGTGCAGTCCATCAACACGACCCAGGACGCGTCGCAGATTCATTCTGCGCATCGACCTCCGTCAGGGCTCCATCATTGCCACTGTCGCCTCCCTGAACGAGGACTTAACGGCTCGCCTCTTCAACCGGTCCGTCTCTGGCGACATCACCGTCATGGGCTTCACCGCGTCAAAGTGCAAGGCCGACGAGTTCCTGGAACCTCGTCTCTTTGGTTGCACGGGTGCACACGCGATCCCACCCATCACACACAGCAACTGCTGCAGCCGCTCACACGCACGCATGCGCGCTTGCAATTCCACGTCGGTGCCGCATACCCCACCAGGACAACAACAGCAGCCACCATCATCGCACCTGTTGTGATCGAGTGCTGCCAGTACACACCACCCTCACCTCCCACATCTTCATCATCATCCCAGCACTGCTGCCACCACCACGAGCAACGGCAACAGCCACGCATGGCTGTGTTGCACCTCTACCTCTGTGTCAGCTGAAACGTCCCGTGATGTGGTTTGCATCCCCGCGTTAGTGTGTGGGATGGAATGGCTCGCTCGCTTGTGTGTTGTTTGTGCTGCCTCAAACACCCATGCTGCACCTCAGCATCACATCGCATACACACAAACATGCAGTCGCTGATCATTCAGTGCATAACGCGGTGCTTTACTCAAAGGAACCAAACACAAGAAGAACGAAAAGGAGAAGTAAAAGAAGCAACGTGAAGCCACACAACACACGCACCCTCCACCCTGAACTCTCTCAACTAGCAACATGTATCCAAACACAACACATACGCAAAAAGGCGCCCCAACCCCCCCCCCCACACACACACACGGCACCACAACCAGCAGCAACAACCCAACGTCAGTGTTTCACTCTGCTGTGCGAGGCATCCGCTTGCAGATGCGCTCGAGCTCGCTCTGATCGATTGTGTGAGAAAGTTGATGAAGTTGTGGGAGCAGCAAGGCATGCTTGCGCGACTCTGCCGTTGGGAGGAGAATTTCGTCCACTTCCTTCTTCATCCCCTCATGAGGCTTGCCGTCAATGCCGTTGAATTGCGTGTCTCCGTTGAGCAACCGCAGTGCGGCCACAGCTGCAATGGGCAATGCATATCGCTCACGGTCTGCCGGCTCTGTTTGAATGTTCAAGGATAACACACCAGGAACGGCTTCATTCTCGCTCATTTGCAGTTGAGAAAGATGGATAAGCGCAGGCACCTCTGTGTAGTGACGCTTGTGCCGTGCTGACGCCCCGACCTTGGGGTCCACTGCACCCCACAATTCCTCAGCTTGGTAGATACGCACGAGGTGCTCTGCATCATATTGCGTCAGAATGACAACACCGCGCTTGTTGGGGTACACCAACAGCATGTCGACCGGCAACAGCTCCGGTGGCAGCGGCGCTTCATCACCGTCCAAGCGTCGGTACCAAGCAGACCTCACTGAAGGCCGTGCATAATTGCACGTGCAGTAAATGGGGACACCAACGTCGGCCCAGGCAATGGTCTGCAGTCGTTCATCAAGAATACTCTGCAGCGTCAAAAACCCAAGCACGTGCACGCTTGGGTCGGGCTGTCGCAGCACACACTCAAACTTCCATGGCTCTTCGATCGTGGAAATGGCTTGGGGCTTCTCAGACTGCTTTTCTTGCTCCTGCTCTCGCACACGCTCCAGCTCGCGTTCGCACTCCTGGTCAGCGGCACCAGCCTCGACTTCTCTGACGCCAAACACCTCACAGAGGTCCAGTATTTGAGTGAAAATGGGATCACTGCCTTCGTCTGCGACTGTTTCAGTCGCTGCATCTCCCACGATATCAGCTCTCAGCTTTTGCATCAATTTGGCCGTTGGCTCGGCAATTCGCGCACACTCGTACAAAACCTCCAGGCCAAGCTTTTCTGGCTGCTTGGTGAGATTTGGGACGCGCTTGGTTGCGCCAAACGCAGTTCCTTGTGCCGCCCACAATGTCAGGTGATTCTGGCTCGCTGCGATCGTGTTGCTCACAATCCACTGCAACACATGCGCTGTCTCGATTGACTGACTGCTGCCCTTCTTAGCAGCACCTGAAGAGGCGTTGCCTTGCGCTCCAAGCTGGCTCTCCCGGACCAGCTGCTCTGCTTGCTTGCTGAGCAGCAGCACAATCTTCTGTCCGCGGCCAAGCTGACGCAGCCGACCAGCGGCTTGCATCAGGGCATCCTTGCTGAGGCCAGGGCTGATGGTCAGTGCTGCCGTTGCGGTTTGCTTCAGCTTCAAGTCTGCGCCACGACATTGATGCTGGTCAAAGAGAACCAGCGCGTCTCGCTCGCGGATGGGGGCACTCGCCCTGGGCCACTTCTCGCCGTGGCAGCTCTTCAAGTACCAAGCGACGCCCTCTTGATCGCCACGCTCAGAGTATGCAACTGCAGTCGGCACTGCGGTCCCTTGCAGCTGCTTTTCTTGGAGCTTCTCCAGCAGCTTGTCCACGACGTGGTTGTTGTTGACCCCCGCTAGGAGTGCGCCCGCATCAATGATGGCGTCCACCTTCAGCTCCAGCGCTTGATCCAGCACCGCCTCCCACATGTCCACGTCAGGGTTGCCAGACACCACCTCAATACCGACAACGTCGCTCAGCAAGCAGCTAACCATCTTGCCGTTGGTTGCTGCAACCTCACGCAAATGCTCGTCAAGACTTGTGCTATGAGACAAGTCCAAAGGTGCGACGTGCGAGGGCAGCAGCATGTTGTTGTCGTTTGTGCCAGAGAACCCGCACTGGCGGTGGACGCGGTCACTGGGTGGGCTGTCATGTGCAGGCCACTCGCGGTCAGTGTCTGTGATGCTCCACGGTGTCTTGGTGAGGCGAGATGGGTACTGCCGCATGTCTTCCTGCATCACAACAGCGTTGACCCAGAAGAACACGGTCTCCATGTTGCCAGAGTAGTACTTTCGCAACAACTGCCATTGCTCTGCGCTTGACAAGTCCAGCTTCGATTCTCTGTCCAGCAGCTGCACGTGCTTTGAATACGTCGCATTCTCAGCGTCCTTCGCGTCCTCGGCATGTTTTGTGTTCCGAGCGTGCTTAGCGTGCTTTGCGTCCTCCTCTTCCATCTTTGACTTGCTTCCTGCAAACCAGCGATTGTAGTGCAGCTCACGCTGTGGCTGTGGCAGCTCAAGAAGTTTCTTCACAGCTTCTCGAAGCTCGTGCTCTTGGAGCCCGCGCTGTAGAAAGGAGATGTGCGTCAAGCAGACGTTGGTTTCAATGTCCACAAACTCGGCTCGCTCTGATGGCGTGTCGTTGGCGCGAAACGGAACAGCGACACGCTTGTTTCGCCTCTCAGCAATCCCAAAGTGAACACGGTGGCGCTTCTGCAACGTTGCAAACAGCTTCCCCGTGCTCAACAGCCCGCGTAGGGCGAGGATGTCCAGCTTGTGGTGCTGGATCCACTCTTGCCGCGTATCATCCGTTGGTACTTCTGTGGTGTCAGCATCCGTGGCGTCGTCAGGGACCAAGGCTTCGCGAGATTCGGATGGAGTCCTCCCATGCAGTTTGGGCGCGTGATGTTGACGTTGCGCCGCCATGGCAAAGGTTTTCTTCACATTAGATGACGTTCCTGACGCCTCGTCTGGGCGGCCTTGGCGTTTCTGCTTTGGCTTTGGTGGTTGCGAAAATCGGGCGAGGAACTGCTCCCATCCCATTTCAGCAGTGGTGGCGAAGGCAATCACACACGCCCTCTCGTGGTGCGTCAACTCCCGCATCCAGTCCAGTTCCTCTGGCGGGTTGTCGAGCAGCCGTCGCACCACCTCCTTGTGCATCACCGGCAAAGCCTTGGTGAGTGACTTGCCGGATATCAGCTGCAGGGCATTCCAGCCGCCTGCACAGCCTGATGAGTGCCAAGATAGCACGTTTTGGTGGGCTGTTTCACAAAACACATGCTGGCGTGCAGTCGGTTGACGTTGGCTGCCGCGCTCGAAATCTGCTGCCTTTGGCATCCCGCCTTTCTTCACCTTCACCTTCCCCTTCGTTTTGGCTGCCTTCGACGGCGATGCTTGCGCAGCTTCGGTAGGTTGGTTGAATGGCGTCGAGACCTCCTTGCAGTTGTGCAGCACCCGCAACAAGGCTTGTGTGACACGCACGCGATGTTGTGCATCGGGTAGAGGCGTGCTGTCTCCAGCGGCATAGATGAGCTGAAACGTGTGGCGCAGAATCTCGTCGCTCTCATCATAGATGTGAACGTACGGCAGCCCATGAAGAACACGCGTCAGCCCCGCAACGCTCTTCTCAACAAACCGCTGCTGATCTTCATCACCACGTGAGATTTGGCGGCCAGTGCTTCCAGTACCTCCCGAGCGCTCTGAGCTGCCTCCCGGGTAGACATCGTTGAAAGCCCGTGTTGCAGCGCTCGGACACAGCTGCAGCTCGTCCTTCTTCAACTGCAGGGAAAGGTATGCGGACGGTGTCGTGACGACGGCAAACGGTTCTGTTCGCGCCGCAGTTTCCAGCACGCTGCACAGCACGCCCAGGTTCTCCGGTGTCACTTGCATGTGTCGATGGAACGGCAGTCGCAGCAAGCGGTATGAGATGGCGCCGGCACACAGGTAGCGATGCAGGTCCTCAAACGCTTGGTGCTCAAGCTGCGGCAGGAAGAACACGCGGGGCACGTGTCCAGCGCTGTCAGCGGACCTGGTCTGCCGATTTTGAAGCGACTGGTGCAGCAGCAGCATGGGAACGATGACCCTTGTCTTGCCCTCGCCCATGTTAAGTTGCATGATGACGCCCTTGTTGCGCTTGCTACCGTCCATCATCTCCTTTGCGACGCGGTACTGTTTGGGGCGAATCTGGATCCCGCCGTCCACCTCAAATGCCAGCCAGTACGGATGTGCCTTTGCGTCCCAAGTGCGTTTGCATCGTAGCTCCTGCACCAGCAGTGTCTCAATACCTTTCTTCTCAGTGGCGTCGATGTCTGTGCTCAGCAGCTGCTCCAGGTAGGCGAGGATGCGCCGCAACCTGTCCTCCAGCACACACAACTGCATCCACATGACAGTGGCGGCTTTGACTTTGGAGCACTCTGATCGCGTGAGAAACGGGTTCATGTCCAACAGGAACTCCACATCGTGTTCGTGTGCGTTGGCGCACAGAACCACGAGATCCCGCATCGTCATGAGCGGTGCAAGGTTTGCACAACGGCCGGCGTTGAACGCGCGCCACTGGTGCAAGCACTCACGCTTGTTGGCTGCCTTGGCTGAGATGCTCAGCGTGGCCCTCAGCGACTTCTCAATTCTGTGCTTCCGAGTGCACAACTTATCCAACATGCCCTTCACATCAGCCTTGATCTGGGGTGCAGGCGCCGCCAGCGTGTACTGCTTCGACTTGGCGTGCAATTTACAGCTCTGTTCAAGGTTGCTGACATGCGTCTCTGCCATCTCCGTCGAAGGCAGCTTGCACTTGTCAAGCAGGTTCGCAGAACGACCTTTCTTCTTGCTCTTCTTCACTTTCTTTGCCTCGCAGGTAAGCTGCTTCAATGTCTCTTCATCTTGCGAGATCTCCTGCACAAGACTGTCAACTGCATGTGCCCGTCGGTCGCCAGGCTCTTCTGCCTGTAACACAACGCGGTGCTGTCGTGCACGGGGCGCGCTGTGTCCAAACACGAGGCGGGCCTCTGCGTTGCTAAGCTGCAGTCGAGGGTTCACGAGCCCTGCTTCAACTTGACTCCTGTAAGCCACCAGCAAGCGATCGTCAAATGCGACACACTCCTCTTCTTGGGGTCGGTCTTGTGTCTTCTCAGCTTCAGGAGCGTCTGGGTAAAGAAACAGCAACTGCCGACTGCGCTTCCACATCAGATGGCAAGCGATGGCGAGGCCTGGTGCGAGTGGCGCCAGGTGCATGACGTTTCCCAGTGTTTCTTTCTCGTCCTCGTTCAGGGGTCGGTCCACAACGCTCCGCCGCACAAGCGACATGGCGTTCTCAAAGCCCGTCATGCTCTGCCGTGGTTCCGGCATGAGCGTGCTCGTGGCGGCGTACAGAGCAGCCAGGTGGAGGCGACCCCAGATAGTTGTGGCCTGCAGCTGCTTGAATCGATGGTGCTCATCAAACGCAAAATGGTCCTGCTTGCTGTCGCATTCGTGGCTCAGGAGTGTAAGACTGGCGAACGCAGACCGCGTCCAAGGGGTGGTGCTCATTTTCTCATCTTCACTGCTTGTGTTGAAAGAATCCGCAACACCAGCATTACCCTGAGCGACAGCGTGGCCAAAGAGCATGAACTTCACTCCGCCATCGGGGACCAGCAGCTTGTGCTTGGGATCGCTCGTGTGCACAAGCCCGCCATCCTTCGCCACTGCTTCTTCGTCCAGCTCGAGCACCAAGTACCGCACAAAGCCGCGCAGCGTGTCGTGCCACAGCTGTTGGCGGGCGAGGCGGTAGTGCTTGTAGTCACACGAGTCCAGCTCGCCGGTGTTCTTGTCCAGCTTGAACGACAGCCGGAAGCGTGGCAGCTCAAAGACGACGGCATCGTTTTGGGACGGCTGGTGAAGCACGTGAATGTACTGTCGGTCTTCAAACTTGGCCAGCGCACGAAGAATCGCCTCTGCTGTGCCTCCACCATCGTTGTTGTCGTTCGCGTCGGCATCTGGTGGTTTGCTACTGACATGCATGAGCCGATCAAAGGAAGCGCTGCCACTGCTGCCGCTGCCGCTGTTGCCACTGCTGCTGCTGACGATGCTGTTGTCACAACCCCCAGCTGAGATTCCATCAAACAGCTCGTGCCAAGGCGTCAGCCGCTTGTTGGCGGGAATGCGGAAGCACGTCCAAGGACACGTGGCAGTGTCCTCAGTCGGTTCGCTGTTTCGCACGAGAATGAAGTAAACAGCTTTGTCGAGGAAGAAGTGGTTGCGCAGCACCAGAACGCCTTGCGCGCGGCAGTACCAAGCCGTGTGTAGCTGTTGGAGGCAGACAGGCAGCTGAGATGTGAGATCTGCCGTGGCCGGGACAAGCTCGAGCGTCCAACGTTGCTCCTCCTTGCTCAAATGGAACTCGTCTTCTCGGACCTCCTCAACCGCTGCGAGGGCGTGATCTCGTGGGTTTTGGTGGAACACGTACAGGCGATGGTTGATGACGTCAGTTGTCTCAAACATGCTGGCGCCACTCCTCACGACGACGAAATTGCGTTCACCAAAGACACGTTTGTATATTTCGTCATTGACCATCGTCTCGGGGAGGCGTTGTGGTGGCAGCCCGTCGTACAAGACCTCCCCTGTCACCACATTGATGGAGTAGAGGTGAGGTGCACCGTCACGCTCATATGAGGCGTGGAAGCAGGCCGTATTGTGCTCGAACTCCCAGCGCAGACCACATGGCGCTGACGTGAAAATAGCCTGCACAGCCGCTGTCAGGCAGTGGTGACCACCATCAGTGATGTCGCTGATGGCGGGTTCGCTGGTGGCGGGTTCCACCAGATGCCTGAAGATGGAGCCGAGCCGGCGGGCTGTCACGTTCAGGCATGCCTCCCACAGCCGGGCCTCCTCAAGCTCAAGTTGCTCCACGCTGGCGCCGAGTTTGCTCTGGCCTGGTGACTGCGAAGACTCTCCGCCTTTGTGTGTTGGTCGGGCAGCCTTGATCAGGACGATGAGCTTACACATGGTTTTAACATCCTCTTGCGTCAGGTGCCCGCCGGCGTAGCACAGCAGGGCCAGCTGCAGCATGAGACAACGACGGACGCCCATGTCGCGCAGCTGCAACTTCTCTTCCGCTCGTTCCTGTTCGGTTACAGCTGCGCCTGCTTGGCGTATGTTTTCCATCTTCACTCGCAGCTGCTCTGCCCATCTTGTTGCAGCCCGAGCAAAGTGCCGGACGGTATCCATGCACGTTGCACTGTCGCTGCTTGCCTGTGTTTCGCACCCATCGTCAGTGTCGTAGCTGGCCACAAAAGCTGCCAGCTCCCCAAGCAGCCTCAGCTCCTTGAACCGCCGTGGCGACAGCTCAATACTCTCAGCGTATGCCTGAAGCTTGGCCGCCAGCACGTCGCGCAGATCTCCAACGAAGAAGTCACGCTTCCACGTGAGGCACATGCCACTGTGGCCCTCGCTTGCCACATCGCTGCGTTCAATACCGCCCACCTCATACATCAGCTGGCGCACCACATGCTGCACCAGCACATCATCAAGCGACAGCCTGTTCTCGGTCAGGGCGATGCAGAGCTGGCGCAGTTGCTGTCGTGGGAACGCACGCAGGCCGCCCAACTGCAAGAACGCCTGGTGCGACATGGTTGACGGCTTGTCGATGTGGCTGCGGTTGAGTGCATTGTAGCCGCGACTCGAAGACCGGCAGGCGTGAGGATCACGTTTTAGGTCGGTTGTTGTTGACGAATCCAGCTGAAGCAGCCACTGTCGCTTGCTGAGTTTGGTCATGGCCTTGATGCTGTGATAGGTGAACCGCTTCATCAGCTCTTCTGGCTCTGCTGCGTTGACACACGTATTCTGACTGAG